CTATCAAAGGGAGTAAAATAAAGACATCTGAGCATAGCCGAGACACTAGCTGTTATTTTTACATATTTAATCCCTAACTGCATAAACAATTATTCATCACATTAGTTATTATCCCACTAGATTTTTTGTCCAAACATCCTGTCTATTTTTGTTTTTTTTCTACATTTCTAACCCCTAATTGCAAAATATGTCAATTTTCTCAGTAATTATGATGCTACTTTGTTTGAGTTTTATTCGTCTATCCCCCTGTTTATTATGGCATTTTAATTCCTAATTGTAATTTTATCAATTTGACTGTCACCTAAAGATTATCCTGGAACTTTCCCATCCATTTGTTATAAATAGAAGAATGTACAGCCTAGATGGTAAATTCGTCGAAAAGAAAATTTTCTTCCGAATAACGTTTTCCTGCAAGAAATGATTAGGTAATATAGAAAGCGTTAATCGGGCGAAAACTCAAATAAAATTAAACAAGCAGTATGATTGACGGCAATAAGTATAACTCAAATAAGATTGAAAGAGAATCAGGTTAAGCAGCTCCACCACCATAATAATGCGCAGAAATGTAATAATGGGGAGAGGAGAAACATAATATAATTAAAATAGGATAAAATTTACTTATCGGACATTAAGACAGATTAGGTCCATGACGGGGCTCTGTATTACGAAATTATTATCTAAAATTTACAATTTTAGTGATACATATTTAGAAACATTCCTTTTGTTGCTAAGAAAATTTACCATGTGTGGAGTACACCGTGTTGTCTCTTTTGGATTTATTTTAGGAGTCTACTATCCTCATCCGAAGACAATTCTACAACCGGCACACAGCGTCTACAGCAGACGCGATTCCAACAGTTAACGTTCCCGTGGATTATATAAATAATTTGTAGCAGAGGACTTAAACTTTATATCCAAGTAATCCTTTTTATTGATATAACTTGTTACTGCATTTTTTGGTAATATATTGTTACTCAAGGTCTCATTGACTTGGATTATTATTCTCATATTTGTAATGTTAATGAGCTCTCATAACAGTCCCCTACAAATTAATTGATGAGCCCGTTTAGGACACAGATTATTTTGACATATTCATATTCTTATTTTTGCCATTTTGTATATTCATTGTGATTTTGTGTGTGGTCTTATATTTGTATCCCATTTTGCACCAACATTCTCATACCTATAATGTCGTCACCAATACTCGCCACCCTTGCAGAGTTAGCGACAAGGCCTGACAAATTGGAAACCAGTAGGTCTGATCGACGAGTCCAGAGACGGAGTTCACAAGCAAGGTCACCATCACGACGATGATCTCTCTCTCCCGACAGCGTTCCCACATGTCTTCTAGGGACAGTAATATATGTTGGTACCATAGGAAGTTCGGATGGAATGCCCTGAAATGTGTCAAACCGTGAATCTTTAGTGAAGATAATCAGGCAGGAAAACTTCCCAGCCAGACAGTGATGGCGACAGCTGTTACTGGCAAGCAAACAAGTCGCCTTTTCTGTGTGAAGGACAAAACTTTATTCCTTGTACTGCTTGAGAATGATATCAGTGAAAAGAGTAACTCTTTGCTGAACAACTTTTCTTTCATACAATCCAATGGGGATTTTTAAGTTCCATATAACTATACTACTCAGTAGTGAGATACCTAAAATAATAATCTATACTTTTACAAACCTTTGTGTATTCCACTCAGCTCTTAGTTTACAATAAACAGAATATACAACAGTTAAGATTTAAATTAGTTGTATATAAAGGAGAGCATGAAATTTTATGCAGCTAATGACAAATAATGCCGATTGTTCGACAGTTAGTGTTTTAGTCTAGTTAAAACTTATTTAACTGGAATATTTTTTTTCATGTTACGAACAACACTCATAGTATGACAACTGGTAATATTATGCAGTTACCCGGGCTAAAAAGTGAATGGAGACGGATTTGAGCTCGATATCCACTGATTGGAAGTTAAATGCTTTAGGGGTAATGAGCTGAATTTCCACATGACAATTGATGATATCATGTAGGTGGGAAATGATGTCCGATCGTGTGACCTATTTTTAGACTAGTTATAAAATTTAGCATCTGTATTAATGAGTGATACTTTCACACAAACTAGGCTTATTTACAAAGATTTTATTTCTTTTATTCTTATCTTCATCATTCAATTTGTCTTCGAAATAAACGAAGAAATGAGGGATGGAAATTTGCATATATTTCATTGGTTAGTGAGGTTCACCAGTTCGGATACTTTCCAATGACACTGGATGACAGTGGCGTTACATATTACGAAATGACAGAATTTAGAATTCATGGACTATTGGATTCCTTCCCAGTGGCTGAATGGTTAACGAGCTCGCCTCCGTGGGATCATGGGTATGTACTTCTGAAGAGTCCCATACAGAGACGAAACAGCCGTCTATTACACCCTGGTTTCCAGGGGTTTACTAACTGATATCAGTTCGTGATTGAACTTAAAACAAATCAAATCTCTACAAACTAACACTTGAAGAGTAAAATTTAAGTCGGTTACAGGATTTCATCATGAGCTGACATCGACTAGAAAACCATTAGAAAACCTGGGAGTACTGGACAGCTGTTTCGCCTTAGTTGAGGCTCTTCATCAGTACGCACCAACACAGCAGGATTCAAACTCAGGACCTCCTGGTTACAAGACTAGAGAGAGCTCGTAGGCCATTAAGCCACTGGGATCTGATCCAATGGCCCATGAATTCTAACTCCTGCCAATTCACTACATAGCGCGACCGCTAACCAATGTCTTCGGCGAGTGTTTGTACTCACACCCAACCTGCCGCACCCTACTGGTCACGACTTCCCACTAGAACTCCAGGGCCAGTCGCTAGTGAACCTCAGATTAATTTCCAAGCATTGGTTTTGTAGGGATATTTGCTATGCATTGGCAGGGTCATTGGATCGGAGTCCCAGTGACTTAATGGTCTACAGGCTCGCTAGCCTTGTAACCAGAAGGTCCTGGATTTGAATCCCAGAGGGTGTGCGCTGCTGGAGAGTCCCAAACCAGGACGAAACAGCCGTCCAGTACTCCCAGATTTTCCAATGGTTCTCTAGCCGATGTCAGCTCACGAAGAAATCCTGTTACTGATCAATCAAATCCCTACAAACCGATACGTAAAATTTAGGTAATTATGTAACAACAGAAGGCAAGGGCCAGGCAACAGATCATTTATATGTTAACTGTATCCGCCTGCGCAAAGCCTTTGTTCTCATTTTTCTCACGACCAATATTGCGGACATAAACGTTGACGTAAATTACTGTACACCAATTTTGGCTAACGGCCAGCTCTCACCACAATTATAAGACTTCGCTTCTGATACACATATATCTGATTTGGTATTTATTGAAGTTTAGCTGCTGATTTTTTTAGTTTTGCCTTATCCAGTTATACATAAATCAGATTGTTAGCCAATATTTAACAATTACCTACAGTACATCCTGTGATTATACTCCACATTAAGTTATCTAGACATCAAGATGACAATATTTTTAACATACATCTTAGACAGGAACAAAAAAGGACAACAGAAACAGAAAAGGCAATGCCAAAGACAGCTTTATATTAACTTGTTTACAATACTGAGAAATATCAAATAATTTAATAGTCGTTAGCTAAAATTACTACTATGTGTTTTACGACTGGGTGTGTATTTTGAGGCTATATTACCGGCGGCGACTATAAAGCCTTAGGGAAAGATAAAATACACAAAGCTAAAGTCCATCTTGGTTAACCGTGTTTTTTTTTCGCCAGTGTGAGAACGTAGAGTTAATTTTAATGTTAGTTTCCCAGGGGAAATAACTCTACGTGCAGTTGCATTCCTATGTCTAGAGCCAAAAATACATTTTATTTTTTTTTATTTTTGATTTACAGCTTGATTCCACACCGTATTTTTGGTACAAGTATGGAGTTTTCAGCATGGATATCGGTAGCCCAAATTTTGCAGGGCGACCATAGATATCAGGTGTGCGTCGGTGCGGGCTCGAACCCCGGACCATGTGCATGGTCCGATAGTGATTAATCAGAATTCCTTAAGACTGTAACTTTAAATTCCATCCAAGTTTTTTGTACACACACATACTTATTGAGATATTCTAGTTTTCTAAAGAAAAATATAAATACTTCTTGACAAAGATTCCAGTTCTTCGTCCACCTGACAATACTGAGTATTTGTCAAACAATACAAAGTCGATTGCGTATATACATTTCGAGGTCACCTTTAAGATAGATGATATTTATTGTTCCCATTTAAAAGTTTACTTATCGAATAATTTTGATATACCATACGGTGTTATCAACTTTTCTCCATGCGGGAACTACTTCCACGTCCATTTAAGTCTCCCAGCCAATTTGTGGTAAAAAAAAAGGAATTCGTCATACGTAGAAATAAATTTATGACACTTCGCTTATTTATCATAAGTGAATAACAGTAGGACGAATTTTCAAGGTTACGACTTCGCATAAATTAGACCGGCGAAATCGTTTATTAATTATTTTGTTCAGTTCCCCTGTTACTTAATTTCCCATTGAATAGGTGACTCTTATGCTTAATTTTTGACATAAGCCTAAATTATAGATTGATTTCACACAGTATTTTGATAAAAGCATGGAATTTCCAGCATGTGATATCGGTAGTCCAAATTTAACTGGCCGACCATTTATATCAGGTGTGCGTCGGCCGGAGATCGAACCCCGAACCATTTGCATGGTCGGCGAGAGTCCTAACCGCTGTGCCACCGACGCACAGTGAACAGAGTATGATTTTAAACAATCAGCTAACGAACATGAAATGAATGCCAACAAAGAACTGCAGAACCATTAAATCTTTCAACTGCAAAGATCCAGTTGTTTAAGGATTCTATTTGGGAATCATACGGAAAAAGACAGTTTCAGCTCCCGAAACCAAAATATATGGTCAACCAAAAAGCAAAGTACACAGCTATTAATGAGAATAAATTAACTCACCTTTTCCAATTTGTTTCCGGGCATTTTCAACAGCTAAACTCCGGTTTATATTCGATAGAAAGCCTAAAGAGAATCGACCACTATCTCGACCAGGATTAGTGAATCCATCAACAATGATACTCGGTATGCTGGCAAAATAAGCTTCACCAATGCGTGAATTTAACTCATAATATGCAATACTGCACCAATATTTTGGTTCTTGATAATTCACAGCATGAAATTCTGGGATGAAATGAGTGAAAAATATCATTTATGAGTAGGTAAGCATAATATTTGATGAAACTACGACATTTAAAAGGCATAGACCAAAGCGGAAAATTATGTGGAAGCAACTTACTTATAAAAAACAGCGAAACAATAGCAGAACGGATAGAAAGAGAACTAGGGGAGAAATTCAAGGAACAAGTGGTGAATACATATATGCTCAACTCCAATGGATTTTTAGCCCTATCAGTCGGAATTGTCAATCACAGAGTTTCAGCATTTCCATTAGACTGTATGAGATACATTGAGATATACATACTGAACCTTGTCGCAGTATTTTTTCCTTCACGTTCCCCAGTCGAACATAGGGCTTCAAATTTCTGTAGCAGTGTTTATTCTACAGGGTGGGGTTGCTAGCCTCATGCCCAACCTTTCCTCTTTACCAGCATTATTTCTGGCTTATCGAGGTAAAGGAGTACGTCGGCCGGGGATCGAACCCCCGACCGTGTGCATGGTAGGTGAGCGTCCTTACCGCTGTGCCACCGACGCCTATTGTACACCGAGGATTAAATATAAGAGACTATGTTGTGAGAAACTTCGAGTGAAAGATCCTCAAACTACAAATTCGGTATTCTACAATATGCAAATGCTGACCGTGCCGCGAATTTACTTAATTAATATCAATAACCAAACTAGGACAGTTACACAACTTTTTCCTAAGAAAGATAACTGGCTTTTCTCTCTAACACTAATCAGTTTCGACCGTAGTCAAAAGAATTGGCTTGACATTTAATGTTACTATGTATGAACAGTTACACGCTGGTCATTTATGTAACACTCGACTATAAGCAGGACTGAGATTTTTGAGGAATCTAGTCATAATTCAAAGTTCTGTTCATGTAAGGCAACTGTCGGCAAATAAAAGGTATAAATAAAAGGATAAGATATATCTCTGAGGAAGAGCGAGGACTGTATTTGACATCACGTTTACAGAGCTCTGTGGTTCATGTCATATTTGAAGCCGGCTATTTAAAATTCAGTTTTTACAAAAATCACTAAGATTATGGGGGAAATTCTATGATATCCCACAAAAGTATTCATAAGTTTTACTGCGTTAAAACAATTTACTTAGTCTTTTTTAATTGATTATTTCCAAAACACTTCTCGTTTTTGTGGCGACGATTTGTGTGGAATATACCTACTTCGGCTTCGTTTCACTGCGCCTCTTTGAACCGTTTTAACAATAGAAATTGACATTGTGTAAGCTACACTACACTCATTTACTACCTGTATGTTAACTATACCCAGCCGACAACTGCTACCTTGCCGTGGTGGTCGGGCTTGAATACTGCAGTGATCCAACAAGCTTAACTGGCTAGGACTCATGTTCCTGCAGGTCCTACCACGTCAGGAAGGTTGTTTGGATAGCGGTTAAACTATAAGCAGTTACCATGGGGGGTACATGGGCTCCAGAATCCAGTGGGATCAAATGGCGTATGAACCTATATGGGTCACCGGAAACCATGGGAATGCAGCTCCTAACGCTGCTCCGCTGCCTTGCAGATTAGACTCCAAGTCAAAGGCTTGAGGGTAGTCCCTTAAGAAAACCACCTACTTCGGTCTGGGGGCCCGGGCAGTATCTCAGCCCTCACACAAATGTGGTGCACCTTTCTTGGTGCCATATTGTACCAAAGTTTTTTCTGCGTTTAAATAAATAAATAAAGTCAACGATATCTGACACATTTAAATCGACTTTCTAACGACTCATATAGAACTTAAGTAGGAAACTTTCGGGAATTTATTCCGAAAAAAACAGGCGATAAACTGTCTCAAATTACTGCTTATCACAACTTAAAAGTCAGGAAAACTAAAAAGAAGTCGAATATACTACATAAAAAACTTAGTAACAGTTCCTTTTTTCAACATGAGAGGTGACTTAATGATTTACAAGTGCATTCCAAGAAGCAAAATATCCGATGAAAAGACATCACACTCCTATAAGCATCTGTTGTGTACAAAATATCGAGTTTATCATTTAATAGAAAATTTCTGAAATACCTCGTACACAGTGTAAGTATAAAACTTGGGCACTGTGGTGGAGTATAGCTACATTATCAAAATAAAATGTTATCCATAATGGACTCGTACAAAGTATTTACGTTCACATAGTTATCAACATGTTCATCTGTGAAGTCAAAGTTTTTAATCTAAAAAAAATCACATTAATGATATTATTAAATGTAGTATTTCTATAGTTTGGTTTGTAAGGATTAGTTATGTTTTACGGGTTGATCACGGATTGAATCGGGTCCCAGTGGCTGAATGGTATACGAGCTTGCCTTGTAACCGGAAGGTCCCGGGTTCGAATCCCAGTGGGTGCGTACTGCCGATGATTCCCAAACTAGGATGAAACAGCAGCTGTCCAGTACTCCCTGGTTTTCAATGGTTCTCTAACTGATATCAATCCGTGATCAACCCGTAAAATATAGTATTGTGACCCAATAACTTTTGAATGAGTCCCATAATAACAGTCTGTGTAGTTTGAGTAACCTTTGAATTTGACAGATGATACAAGTTCAAGTCTACGGATGAATACCAGTCTACCTAAGCCAATTAACGTGAGGCTTTAGTTAGGCAGCGAGTCTTGTCTACCTGCTCGGAGTATTATGTAATTTAGTCAATGCTTTAGCGACAAATTTAGGCCAGCATGATGATTTTATAATCACTAGACCACCCACTTGTATTAATATTTCAGGCCTAAAAATAATCTCACATTTCAATAGTATAATCTACTTACTTCAGAAAATCAATGTCATCTTGACTTTTAACAATAGTTACAAATTTCAGTAAAAAGGCAAACTAGTAGCCTAATACTTTTTGTGAAATACCAGCTACTTTCTACAAATCAAAAGCAATTAATGTGCTAATGATTGACCACGTTATTTCACAGATTTAATTTAGAAATAAAGAGATAATATGTATTTCGATCATAAAAAATATGTGAAATCACATAAAGTCCAATGGAGATTATTGGTCATAGCTAATTATGGTCCCACAAAATAGAGGAGGTGAAAAAAACCCGTGCACTACAACTCCCTGAATATTTCAAACTAATGTCGGTAAGCTTTAGACATAATAATTGTTGCTACTAACAGCAAAGTTATCTCATCATACAACTCACCTGAATAACACTGAGAGTCACATGGTTGGTCACCTGTCGTAGGTTCTTTTTTGATAGAATCAATTGTTGGATATTCATTATGGCGCGGTACCAAGACGGGAGGTAATACTATCAAAATAATAACTAAATAATTCATGATTACCAGGGTAGTCAACTCGAGTGTAGTGGTATGGGTTAATGCACACCTCAGTCTCCTTGGAACTAAACGGAAGTTTGCAGTTTTCCACAGGTCTTAATTCATGGTGACTCTGTAGATCAGGCCATCGCCAAACCCTACAATAGATGACATGCGGAAACCCTTTTCGGTGAGAAACCTATAATAATGATACAAGGAAGCCTGCGATTATACTTGTATCCGTCCATCAAGAGACCGAGGAATAGTCACACACTCACTGGGCTCATTTGGATGTAATAAAGCATGCTGAAGTCTTTCCAAAACACCCTTGCGTTTTTTCAATTTTTTGATCAAAGTCTCGATAGCTTTCTGAGCCCATTTTCCTTCTTCATCACCTTGCTTCCATCCCAAAGAGCCACACAATACAGGATACCCAAAATCAAAGGGCTTTTTGATACACACATTTGGATCGAGCATTTTCTCAGGCAATGTAGGAATCATATCTGCCACCTTCTGTCCCAGACAAAATGCTCATTTTCGCGGCTTTTATCCAAAGCGCTCCTCACTGCCCCTCAGCAGCAAACGTGTTGATTAATTAAAACAAAAGTGCTCTTAGCATATTTTCCTCCTAGTTTTAACGTCAAAAACAACGTTTGCGAGATTTTTATTTTCTATAATATATACTTACTTTGTTTTTCAAATAGAATAATCAGTTATCATTCACATAGAGATCTAAATTACTTCTATTTCAGTTCTGAGAAATGTGATGTTGTGTAATGGGACAGAATAGCACTCCACACTGTTCTTGGCACCTTAAATGTTAATCGTATTTGAAATCTATTTGAACTGCTTGGCTGTTCGTGATATTGTCACTTGACGGCAAACAAGTTGTACATTTTTTATTACTCTGTCTTTTTGCCACGTCCAAACAAAATTTGTTTGATACGTTGTCATGTTTTAATGGTTGGCATAGTTTAAGACCAAATAAATGGTGATTAACATAAGAGGCGCTGAACTAAGCGAGGCAAGAAACACTATTGATTAAAGAACTATGCAGCATCTCGTAACGTCCATAACTTTTTAGGAAAGGCAACACATTGGATGTGACCATCATTTCCACCAGAATGGCTGGTCTCTGAATGCAGAGGAATAAATAACATGTGTCAAGGTGCAAAATCTCTTTCCAGCTAGAAATCTTTTGATTTTTTCCAAACGAATGCGGCAGATATTCTCTGTGAATATAGAGGTGAGCTAAATGTGGAAAGTAACTGTTTGTCAGTACAGCATCGTTAAATTGACGAATAAATATTATAATTTCTTTTATTCTTTTGTATCTTTTTTCTGATGACAAGGGTCTTCCTGTTTATATCAATGAAAAGATAAGTTAATTAAGACTAGCTTAACAAATACTATAAACACATAGCATCCACTTTTCAGATAAAGTATTGGCATGTATATGGGTATTGTGTACAACTTTTCGGGTATTTGTTTCATAAGGCGGCTAGTTGGTTTCACTTTGTACTAAATGCTCCCCTGGTCTCAAAGGTCCCTTAACTCTTATTCCTGAGGACATTTATTTGTAGTTCATGGATTAGGTATACAGTACATGTAAAATCCTTCTCATGTGTGAGAAAACGGTGTCATTTCTAACGGACATACAGTTAATCAGTCCAGCCTTGGTTAGTAACAACAAGATGGAACAACGGTTTTATCGTGTCACTCCTAATGTATGTATCACTTCTTAGCTTTCGTTCGTAGCTGAGTGCTAAAATACTCAGATTTTGCGTGAATAACAAAAAATTACCTCATGAGATCACTTAAGCCTGAAAGTGAAAAAACCTGATTTCCTCGATTTGATGTAGCGAAGGTTGGTAATATTTGTGAGGCTATGTGCATCCGCGAACTGTTGTTCTAAGATGACCATTTACCGTCTCGCCTGGGCTACTAGTTTACATGCTTTTCAACAGGTCCTGTGACCCGGTAAAGAGGCGACGTTGGGAAAGGAGCTAGTGACCCTATGCCAGAAACTTCAAAGCATGAGAAAAATACGATGACCAAACCCAATCCTTTTCTTTTGATGAAGGCGAATATGAACAGAAGCTGACAAGGCTCTAATGCAGTGGGAACCAAACACCTCATTAGGATAACGACAGCGACATTCAACTCAAAAGGAAGGAATGTCGCAAATATTCAGTGCTACGCACCTACAGACAACGGGAAACAAGAGAAGGAAGAAGATTTCTATGGACGGCCACAAGCACTAATGGCAATATCCCGATTGGCGGTATCAAAATCCTTATGGGTGATATGAATGCAAGTCATAATGGAAGCTGATAATACAGGAAGAGAAACCATCATGGTTCGAGAGGCTCCAGAAGAAATAAATGAGAACGGAGAATTATTCACAGACTTCTACGCTCTCAATGATTTGGCGATTGGAGGGAGAATGTACAAGTATCTACATAAGGCTAGCAACATGGATTTCGCCTAATGGACAAACAACGAACCAGACAAACTTCATATCAATGCTGCTGCAGGAAGTGGAGATGTAGCAGGTCCGCTGCTCAGAAAGAAGAAAAGGGGAGCAGATATTAGGCGAAGCCAAAATCCACTTCAAGCAACCATCAAGGTGAAGATGAAAGCCATCAAAACAACTGGAAAAGGACCACAATTCGAGTTCAACATTCAGAAATTGGAGGACAAAAATATAAAAGGGACGAGTTACCTACAAATATCAAAGCAAAGTTGGAGACACTACTCCAGTCAAATCATATCAGTTGTCAATGTCCAGCTGTTAATACGCTGAACCTCATGCTGTCCCTGGAAGATTTTCAGGAGCAAATTTAATTAACCAACGAGAAAAACTAAAAACGGATTGGCAACTCGAGGATCCTTTAGTCTTACGCAAATATGTGACTAAAATTAAGGTTATAACAAACAAGGTTGAAGGATAAATAATATATAAATAAATAACGACAAAACTTCTGATAGTTTTATGTCCTCTAATGAACAGCGAAAGATGAGACGATGACTGTCAGATTGATGGCCAGAGAAAGTTATGGGGAAGTTGGGTTTGAGCAAACAACCATGAATTGATCGTTCAATCTTCAACTACACTGACACTCCCCGGCAAAAATCGGATCCATCCCTTTTTTCCATCAAGACCAATACACGTTGATTTGGATGCCAGTGCGAGAACCTGGGTCACACGGACAGAGCTGAAACGGAAAACAAACAGAAAAGCCAACACACCACAGGCATATCCACAGCACAATCTCACTCATCGATGACGACCTACGCCTTCCAGCTAAAGGCATTGTGATGATTGACAATTTCTATCTCTGTATTGCTTAAGTACTTACTGTTGATTGCTAATATGTTTCATATATGAATTGCATTAGAATTCCGCTAAATACAAATTCCTGAATTCCGCCCTCTCTGTGTTTTGTTTGGATTCTTGTAATTCGGTCATCTCGAAATACTAATACTACGATTACAATTAATTACTACAAATTGGCGTCGCGATGGAACTAAATAACCTGGGAAAATTTCCTCTAAAGGGTTCTCCGCGGGATATCGCTGATTATTTGGAATGCTTCGACGCGTGGTGCATTTCGAAGAATGTTCGGGATGACAAAATACCAGCACATTTCATCACTGCTATTGGGCTAGATGCGTATAGCCTAGTGAAGACTCTGTCGTTTCCAGATAAACCAATTTCTCTGCCATATTATAAACTCCGTGAACTTCTGATAGATCACTTCCATATAACTACTTTTGAGACGCGAGAGAGGGCTCAATTCAACAAACTGGTTCGTGCTCCCAACCAGAAGATTCGAGAGTTCATTCTTCAACTTCAAATTCAAGCTTCAAAGTGCAACTTTGGAGATCAGCTGCATACACAACTACCTGATCGTCTAATTGCTGGAATCAATATTCCTAAGTTAGAGAAAGAGTTAATTCAGATTCCTTCTTGTACCTTTCAAACTGCTAAGGATTTATGTATTACATATGAAGATGTCAACAGTGAATACTCTGCTCCCACTACGTCAGTATCTGATGTCATGCTTTCTAAAGTCAAAAATACAAGTGGTCATGGAAAGAAATCCAAACTGCCATCCACAGGTAATAGAATGCAGCGAGAGATCAAAAACATTAAGTCGTGTTTTTCCTGTGGAAAGTTACATCTACGAAGCACTTGCCGTTTTCGGGGTGCTAAGTGTCACATATGTGGTAAAGTTGGACACATCAAGACTGTTTGCAGAAGTTCGAATACTTATGTTACTCAGAATTCTTATAATTCTCCCAATCTGTCTAGTAAAATGGAGTCAATGTGTCTTTCAACTTTTCAGAATACTCAATCTCATCCAATGAAAGCCTCCACTACAAGTTCAGCAACTCAAGCGTCAACTGTTTTCAAAAATGAGGTAGCTGAGTTACAATGCGAACTGTCGAAAACACGAAAAGAACTGAATGAGATGAGAGAGCAACTGATTAAAATGGAGGAATTGTTGCATATGCATAGACTGCGTCTGTTGAATGCAGAGCACACAAGTACCTGTGAAAGTCCTGCAAAACTTTTCAAATCTCGAATTCTCAAAAAGCATCTGATGTCCACGACTTCTAATGTACATTATTACAAAGGGAATGACTACAGACCTTCTGTTGGAATCATACTACAAAAAATGGGAAGTCGAGTGGTGAAGATATTAGACATCAAAGATCACTCAGTTCATAACGGACACCTGGACAAAGTGACAATAAATGAAGTAGGTAGTTCCAATTATAATATTAATAATTCCGCTACTAACCCTGATTTTGTAGAAAATTCTGAAATAAGTCCAGATAACAGTGATGAAGATAATATCACAGAATCAGTTAGAAGGTCGCAGCTACTTGCAAGCAAACCTAGACGTCGTTATAAATACGCAAGGAGATATTCGACGTGTGGCAGATGTAGTGATTTACAATTTCTATCTCTGTATGGAAGTGATCTATCAGAAGTTCACGGAGTTTATAATATGGCAGAGAAATTGGTTTATCTGGAAACGACAGAGTCTTCACTAGGCTATACGCATCTAGCCCAATAGCAGTGATGAAATGTGCTGGTATTTTGTCATCCCGAACATTCTTCGAAATGCACCACGCGTCGAAGCATTCCAAATAATCAGCGATATCCCGCGGAGAACCCTTTAGAGGAAATTTTCCCAGGTTATTTAGTTCCATCGCGACGCCAATTTGTAGTAATTAATTGTAATCGTAGTATTAGTATTTCGAGATGACCGAATTACAAGAATCCAAACAAAACACAGAGAGGGCGGAATTCAGGAATTTGTATTTAGCGGAATTCTAATGCAATTCATATATGAAACATATTAGCAATCAACAGTAAGTACTTAAGCAATACAGAGATAGAAATTGTCAATCATCACAATGCCTTTAGCTGGAAGGCGTAGGTCGTCATCGATGAGTGAGATTGTGCTGTGGATATGCCTGTGGTGTGTTGGCTTTTCTGTTTGTTTTCCGTTTCAGCTCTGTCCGTGTGACCCAGGTTCTCGCACTGGCATCCAAATCAACGTGTATTGGT